TCTAGCTCGCGGGCGATTGTTTGAATAGTCGGAACAAGCTGGATGTCGAAGGAGAGAGAGAGAGAGAGAGAGAGAGAGAGAGAGAAAGAGAGAAAGAGAAAGGATAATATAGTTTCATGCGCGAGCGAGAGAGGGTGGAGAGAGGGAGACGGTGCGAGTCGTGACATATGCGCGCGTGTACGTCGCGCGCAGATGGAATTGAGCGTCGCGGCGCCTGCCTTGGTGAAACGAGCGCTTGGCGACGGCGGTGGCGTCCCTCGTTATCTATATGCAATATGCATGGAAGAAAATACGCGCGTACCAGTCTATAATTTAGCGGCGGCGGACGGGCGGACAGACGGTAGATCTGCGAGATTCGCACGAGCGTGCGAATGCGCGATGTTGACAGAGACAGAGACAGAGAGAGAGGGGGGGGAGAGAGAGAGAGAGACCACGCTGGCGGATTTAGCGCGATCGTCCTCCTCCTGGTTAATATCCTATGCCGTCTGTCGCGGTCACAGAGACGCGCATTGAAGCTCTGGAATAATGGAAATGAAAGGCGAGCAATTTGAGTGAAATTAATATCCCGCGATGAATTATCGCCAAATTTTAATTGACGTTTAATTAATAAATTTTTGGAAAAGGTAAAATTATTAATTGTGATAAAAGTAATGAAATATTGCCGAATTATATATACAGCATATATATATGTATATACACGGTGTATCTGAAATGATAATCACTAAACTTTAGAAGCGTATACTAGAAGTCAAAATAAGACTTTTTTTCTTACGAACATTCGGATCCATGTTCATAGGAAAAAAAATCTTATTTTGACATCTAGAATACGCTCCTAAAGTTTAGTGCATCATTTCAGATACACCCTGTATATACAGCTATTTCGAGTTACACAAAAATATATTATTTGCGCGCCTTTACTCTCGAGTACATAAAATTTATTAGAAACAGACAAAAATATATCGCGGATGAATCGCGTTTCCGATAAAATCAGGTTCACCATAGAACAAAGAACGAATCAATTGTAAAGTTTTACGTCCAATTTGATCGTTGACGTCCACAAATTGAAAACGAACGAATTCCAGAATTGCCATGCGCTCTTTGTTTCGCTATGACGCTGCGGGGAAATAAAGAAAAAAATATCACTTTTGTTTCAACGATATCGGAAATGGAATAAAAAAAAAGATCGCAGATTCATCCTCGCGGGAGGCATACGAAAAATGTTGCGTAGAAAAAATCGCGACAACATGCTGACTTTGTCGGCAGCAGAGCTACGGACACCGCTCAGAAAAATTATCCCGTGCAAAATCAAATCGTACGTTATCGCGCGCGATTCGCGCATCATTTGGAAAATTGTGCAAAATTTACGCGATAATTTAATTTGTCGCTTCAACGAGCGAAATATTTAGCGCAATCCCGCGAGAAGACTCGATTGTCGCCGCACAGAAAAAAAGGACATTCTTATTTTGAAAATATATTTAGTTTTAACATGGAAATCTCGAAATGAGATTATATCGCGTTAATTTAAGAAAAATATAATTGCTTGAATAATTGCTTACTTGAATAAAGCCATTTTATATAGTTCAATCGAGAAAAATATATTCTCATAAGATTTAAGATTTAATTTTCTTGAATGGAAAAGAAACAATGTTGGATAGAAAATAACATTTTTAAATCAAAGATTATAATTTTCTTAAAGTAGAATTAAATAATTATATTCTTGAGGTGACAATTACAATATTAAAATAAGACGATAATAGTGTTGAAATTTAAAATTAAATTCTTCTAAGAAGATTAGAAATTGTTGCGTATATACGAAACAATGACGTTAGTTTAAGTATACAGGGTGTTTCAGACCACGCATTTAAAAACTAGAGAAGTGGTTATTTCCAAAAAGTAAAAACATTTTCTTTATAAATCGAGTGCGTTCTATCGAATGGTGATATTTTCAACTTTTGGTTCCGGCCAGAAATAGGCGATTTAGACCGGAAGTGCATTTTTTTAAATGGAACCTCTTATTTTTCATCGCATATTCTTGTAGCTTATCTCGAGAGCTTTCCAAAACACTATAATAAATTATTTTTCCATGAAGTACTTTTCGAGTTATGAGGCTTGAAATAATTTCTTAATTTTACATAAACCATAAAATATCTTGTAAAATATTCATTTTTCGATTATCTTACCTTAATACTTTTATGTACAAAATAATGAGAGGAATCAATTGGTGTAAAGAAAACACATGGTTGTTTCTAAGAAAAAATATGTAATTTGCAATTAACAATTCCATATTTTTTCTTAAAAACGACTGTATGTTTTCTTTACACCAATTGATTCCTCTCATTATTTTGTACATAAAAGTATTAAAGTCTGAATCGCCTATTTCCGGCCGGAGGCAGAAGTTGAAAATATCACCATTCGATAGAGCGCACCCGATTTATAAAGAAAATGTTTTTACTTTTTCGAAATAACCACTTCTCTAGTTTTTAAATGGATGTGTGCTACGGGTGATCTGAAACCTGTATAAGTTTTGATTTGACACTTCTTTTTTTCCGTGCGATGTCGAAAACTCTATCGCGCCGCAAATACGCAGCTGTGTAAGGGCCATTTTTTATCCGAAAATTTCGCGGATAAATTGGCGCGTGAGGCCGTGTGAAAAACGTCAGGATCGCGTAACAATAATGTTCACGACGCGCCTTTCCGCGTCGTTTGATTCGCGCGTGTTCGTTATACGCGACGATGCGGAGACAAGAGATAAAAGTTATGCGGACCCGGAAATTAAAATTCAATCGATAAATCACTTTGCTGGTCGATTTCCACCGTGGAAGCGCGCCAAGGCGAGTCCCAAATGGCCCTTCGCGAGATATAACGCAACTGTTATTTCGGCCAATTAGCTCGCTCGCACAGCACCCACAGCGCGTAGAAAATAGCGGGAATAACAAACGATATCGTACCTAATGATTTTTATACAACGTTGTAGAAATGCGTCAACGCGTTACAGAAATATATACTTTGGCGCGCTTGCCAAAATTTCGAAATATTAAGGATACCCTATTTTTGGCAAAATTTATATTATTTCTTCGGAGAATAAGATCTATAGGAGATCTATAGGAGATATTACTTGTTTGCTCAACATTTTCAGATGCTCTCGACTCGTAGAGAATCCTTATAAATTTCAAGATTGCGGCGCGTGCCAGTCTCTTGTTCAACGAGAACTTTCAAGTCGCTAAGAATACCATCTAACGAACTAGTTCAATCCCTTAATTACTTTGTTTAACGACGACACGAGAAAATTAGGATTGCGCGATGTTTCACGGGAGAGAGAAGCGGAGGTTAATGGCTTTATTTTTCACAGTTTTCGCACGCGGCCGAAGGAGAATACGCGATGCGAGAAACAAAGCGAGACGGGAAATGTGTATCGCGAGGCTGTCAAGGCAAATATCCCGCGACGAGGAAAAGGGAGATCGAGATCGAGATCGAGAAGGGAGGCGGCTCACCGGGAAGGCCTTTCACCTAATGATTCGAGAAACCATTGAGAAACCATTGAGAAACCATATCCGCTGGCGTACGCACGTGGCCATTTATGGCCGCGCAAACAGAACGACGTGCGATAATGCATGTCGATTGAGCGTCGAATGTACACGTTCCCTTTTACCTCTACACGCCACACACATCCTCCACACGTTTCTCATCTTTCTAGATTCGTAAAATTGTCATCCCTAAATGCGAATTTTTGCAAATTGATATGACCAAAAATAAAGATAAAAAAATTTCTTCAATTCTTTTATTTTTAATTATTTTTTCTAAGGAAGAAACAAATTGTGGACAATCAATGCACTGAGAAAAATCGTTTGATTGTATCAACAAGACGTATATGATTGAAAGTATTTTGGTTAAATCGAACAAGAATTTTTAGTTATCACGATAAGACTCGATTTTTTATAACAAGAACGTTTAATAGATTTTATTATAAAGATTTGGTTAGTATTTTCTGGTTGGATCTACAAAATTTCTGGTTATTTAATTCTTTTACTTGCCTCGCTAAGCGGCGAGCCACTCTTAATTTAACTCGTATTCAATATTTGCCATGAAATGTATATAAAGAACTAGTATTAACGTTAAATCCGAAGTATATTTTTTTTCTCTTACGAGCAGTAGTGCCAGAAAGAGGACGCTAGCTCTCTCATTGTGTGTGTTTGAGCTGCATCCTCTTCTTGCATCACTGTTTATCAGTTTAATTTTTAACAAACTGAATTTAAAATAATTTATTCAATAATCTGGATTGAATTTATCCAATAATCTTGTTGGAATTCAGAATATTAAACAGACTTTTGAGATTAGATGGAAAAAATTTTAGACGACTTGGTGCTGACGAGTTCAGCATTATTAACCAGAAAATTTGATAAATTTAACAGGAAGAAATTAATCAGATTCATCTGGCAATTCCTACAAGAATTCTGGTTCGTCCATTTTCCAACAGACATACTGATTGAATCTACCAAAATTCTAATTAATGCAACCAGATTTTTTTTCTCAGTGTGCCATATGAATTTTGTAAAAATTTGCATCTCGGGGTGCTAACATCAGACTTTCTTTTTCTCTGCATTTTCCTCTTATAGGACTTGTACGACCAGTGTCATATCGAAAAAGACAGAAAATCGAATGGAACGGAGAGAAATGCCGTGCAAATATATATATATCCCTCCAGGGAATTATACGTGCAATATACATACATTACGCGCACGCGAATGTACCGCACATCACTATAATAGCAAAATTTCAACAATATTTCTTCATTGTTGCAAATAAAGCGATTAAACGAGACGTAAAAGAGAAATTATCGACGCGTTATTCCCGGCCCTTGCCCAAGGTATTTGGCTTTGAACGAAATTTTATCCAAGAGCGAATAGTCTACCGATGGCCGTACACTACGATAAGCGATTCGATGCACGATAAAGAAGAATTGCGCTACGATAAAAATTCAATACGACACTAGAAACACTCACCCTGCGTCATTGGCGAGTAACGTTCGGTCGATCCTCGCACATGTCTATTTCAGAGTCCTCGAAGTTATCTACCTCGCTCGGCTATCCGATCTGGAACAAATTTTAATTATATTTAGCTGATGACCATCGAAAGAGCTGTGACAATGGCGCGCACTTTTAGTTAACATTCGTTCACGGGTACGCCATGTGAAATTTTATCCTCAAAGTCAATAACACATCGACACGCGTGGGTTAAATCCGATATTTGATGACATTCGAACGTGCTCCTTGTGTCAAACGCTTTTAAAGCCAGTGCGAGTGAATTAATCGCGTTGCAAATTTTTATTTCGCGCCAGCGTCAATTTATCGCGACTCGCAAAAATTAAAGCAAACAAAGCGTAGCCTGCGATCTTGTTAACGAAATAGCAAATCGCGATTAAGGATGTTTTGTACCTGTTTTCAAAATATTGAGAATTTAATGAAAATTGTACAGAATGTCCTTACGTATGTTTAGAACATATCTTCCTTACATATCTTCAGAACAATTTTTAAATCGATTCACTAAAGCGTTCACAAGTTATAAGGATGATTTTAATTTGCACCGAGTTAACATGTGTTTTTATGGGAAACGTATAACCACGTCGATTCAAATGACAAAAATACGTGGAAATAATATTCAGAATTTGTTTAAAATTTGCAAAAGTTTAGATACAGAGGAAATATTTGGTTAAATAATATTATACAAGTACTAACTGGTTAAAAAGATATTAAATATAATTCAATGAAATTAGCCATGTATCTGACACAAGGCGAAATTCTCTGCCAAAATAATTCGATTAACAATTCATTTCGATTAACAAAATTCGAAATATTTCAGTAAAATCGCAGTAAATATTAAAAAATACATCTCTGGTCAAATTGTAATATTCCACACAATTTCTTACTCAAAATACACCAAAAGTGGATATATTCGTCATTATTGATTTTCAGCTACTTTTTGCTGGGATTGTACGTACAAAACATCGATTAATCGATTCATCTGGCGATTAATGAAAAATTCCAAAGTATGTCACTTGAAATTAAACAAAGGGGTACAATGCTCGCGAAATGGAACGATTTATCGCTTTTACTTATGCATTGCACGAATACCGGGAATTAGCGAGATAACGCGAAGATTACGACGGTACAAGTAGTTGCTTTCCGACGCCAGTACTTAACACTGGCAGTAAACCACTCTTTACGTATATCGTTCCGCGCCGCGAAGCGGGAGCGAGTTATAAACGATGTACGAAACAACGTTAACTCGTTGCTGGATGCGCCATGTAAACGCGATCAGATTTACGGCATTTAGAGTGATAAGCCACGACCCAGTAATGCAAGCCGGCTGCACATGACATTAAGCTGGCATTCAGAAAGGAAGAAACGAAATCCAGACGTATATTACACGCGAGATATACTTTCTGCGAAACCATATCCCGCCGTATTCTTGTTCTCCTTAAAAAAAGGAATGAAACTTTAACGACGTTTCACACACAATTACATAATAAAAAGTAATATAAGTCGAAACACATCACATTATTACGTACATATATTTACAAAAAATGTAATTAAAAATATTTACGATTATCCGTCTCTTCTCACGATATCGAGAGATCGATGAAACGTGCGAGAGCGCAAAATTTCTTCCGCGTTAAGTTAATAAATTTTATCTCTCATCTTGACGAATATACAAGGGGTGTACGGGTGTCCCAGACCACAAAATGAAAATAAATAGCTTTTTTATTCCGAGCGGAAATACGCCATCCGGATCGGGAATTGAATTTTTTTAGGGGAATATGATACTTTTGATTACAGATTCGAATTGTACGTGAAAAAATAAGCAACTTTTGTATCAAACGTTTTTTCTGAAAGTGTCTCTATCAATCTTATAATTGACCTTGAAAATTTATCACAGTTACTTTAAAGATCAATTTTAAGATTTACAGAGGCACTTTCAGGAAGAACGTTTGATACAAAAGTTTCTTATTTTTTCACGTACAATTCGAATCTGTAATAAAAAGTACCATGTTTCCTTAAAAAAATTCAATTTGCGATCCCAATTGTGTATTTCCGGTCAAAATCAAAAGTTGAAAATATCACCATTTGATAGAGTATATCCGATTTACTTAAAAATTGTTCGCGTTTTTTTGTAAAAGCCATTTATTTTCATTTTAAGAGGAGTATACGGATGATCTGGGACACTCTGTATATATACATTGTACGTCTTATGAAATGGCTTCCGTAAAAAAACATGGATTTTTCCAAGTAACATAAGCAACACAGTTGAAAATCACCATTTGGTAGAGTGTACCCGATTTACTTAAAAATTGTTCGCGATTTTTTGTAAAAGCCATTTATTTTCATTTTAAGAGGAGTGTACGGGTGATCTGGGACACCCTGTATATATACATTGTACGTCTTATGAAATGGCTTCCGTAAAAAAAACGTGGATTTTTCCAAGCAACATAAACAACACAGTTTAATATCTATATTTTCGCGAAACTATGCGTCGCGCTGTTGTACGCGTTGCATAATTTCGCGTCCTCTAACGGATTGTTTTCTTTTCCGACGAACGTCGCGTCGTGTTCGGTGGGTGTCTCACCGTTGTTGCACTTTGCATTTTTCAACGAGCCATACACAGAGTCTCATATGCTACCCGTTGCTGTCGCGCGGCAGCTGCGACTACAAACCCGGTACCCGGTGGATCATCCCGAATGCAGAAGGAATAGAGACGATGGCGCATCGGGGACAGCCCTCTTGGGTCGCTCGACTTCCGGTGCATCGTCTGCAATTCCGTTTTGCAATATTAAACTCGCCCGAGGATGAATACGCTGCGAGAGGAAGCACGGAAGAACGATAACGTTCGAATCCGTTGGGAGAAAAAAATAGATACGGTAAGCGAGGGGCAAAGTATCCTGGAAACTTGGCTGGAAGCGAACAAATCAACTCTTGATTCATAGAAATCTACTTGCGAAAGCACATATACACGCACGTACAAATATACGCGAGTACTTTTTCGAGACAAAGGCTTTTTTCATTTCATGACAAAATATCAGAGAAATTTATAAAGTATAAAAAGACGAATTATGGGACAACAAAGTTGCGTTTTCTCTCCTTGTTTTATGATATAATTTTGTTTTATACTCGAATGTAAAAATATTTAAGAATTTTAACGCAAAAGACAAGAATACTTTGTGTATCCGTCGATCTATATAAATAACTTTTTCAAAGAGATTAAATTGATAACACATTCTCTTTACTAGATTAAAAATTATATTTCTTCTATCTTTGGAAATTAATATGAAAAGAGATCAGTCTCATAAGAGAAATGCGTTATAGTCAGAAAAACATATTAGGTGGGTTTATTTTCAATTTACTTGACGCATATTCGTGTGAAATGTTCTTTGTAGAATATTAAAAATTCCAACAGTGAAATACACGTGTTCAGCAATTAACGAGTGACCGGTTACATTACCTCGAAAAATTCGTAAAGGACATATTGTTCATTTATTGTGTCAAGTTTTTATTAAAGCACTAATTATTATTAATTCAAGCATATTTTTGATTTTTTTTCTACATTTTACAAAGTACTGCGAGGAATCTGAAACGTCACGCGTTAGCAATAATGTCACGCATTTTATCTTTTATCGTTTTATTCGGACCTTTATCTTTTAATAAAGCGATACGCTTTTGAGCCTACCTCATTTTGCTGCATCAGATGCGATGACAAAAAAAAAGAAAACTTTCAGATTCACAAAAGTTGGAATTGAATGTCACAGGACGGTAAGATAGGGTGGACACGGAAAGAGAAAGTCGGATGCGCAAGGAAATTGTGACAAGAAAAAGGAAGCTTCGCAAGGAAACTTTTTCTCCTGTCGGACATCCGAAAGCTTCCTTTCTCTCGCCAGTCGTCGACAATATCCGATGTATCAAAAGATCACGGATCGGAAAACCACAAGGATTTATTATACGTATCAAAGTCGGAAAATAAAGATGAATATTTCCTAATACATATTTATCTTTATTAAACGTATCTACATGATACAAATGATAAAAGTTTATTTTATACAATTGATCGTTTATTATATCATACACAGAAAAAAAGGACATTCTTGTTTTGAAAATATATTTAGTTTTAACATGGAAATCTTGAAATGAAATTATATCGCGTTAATTTAAGAAAAATATAATTGTTTGAATAATTGCTTACTTGAATGAAGCCATTTTATATAGTTCAATCGAGAAAAATATATTCTTATGATTTAAGATTTAATTTTCTTGAATGGAAAAGAAACAATGTTGGATAGAAAATAACATTTTTAAATGAAAGATTATAATTTTCTTAAAGTAGAATTAAATAATTATATACTCTTGAGGTGACAATTACAATATTAAAATAAGATGATAATATTGTTGAAATTTAAAATTATTAAATTCTTTTAAGAAGATTATAAATTGTTGCGTATATACGAAACAATGCGTTAATTTAAGTATATAAGTTTTGATTTGACACTTCTTTTTTTTCTGTGTATCTTTAACGAACAATCTTTGAAAGAGAGTAATTGGGAAAATGTTCTAAACTTTTATTACAATTGTCAATTTCGAGCGGTACTTGACGATCTACCGTTACCGTCCAGCAATCGAAAAAAATCTGTAGTTGATGAGAAGTCGTTCGGTTTATTGCGGGCCGAAATGGAGAACGAAAATCCCTCTGGTCGCGAATAGTAATCCATGCATAGACCGCACGTATAGAACCATATCGCACGAGTGTCTCGATTATCTGAGCAATGCGCGAGCCATTTGTACGATATTCAAATATATTATATATTGATCGTGACACGGCTCGTCCGTGTTTTATCGGCCGGCAATTCCGAAATTACGCACAATCTTCCGTCGTTTATCTTAACCATTTGTCTATAAAATTTACATCATATGATATCTCGTATATGCATATCCATGAAAACCTTAATTCAATTAAGTCGCTGAATTATTGATCGCTTTAAAATTATAAGACAGAAACAATGAAATAAATAAGACGTAATAATAAAATTGATTCTTTATTTTCGTGCGTA